TTATAATGTCATGTAGCTTGTTGGGCTATACCGCCAGGAATACTTTGAAAAACGCCAATAGGCGACAAAAAATACGTACCTCCATCTTTGATTTCCAGTGAGTAGAACGCGGCTGAAGACTGGAGCAGATAGTTCTCTCCCCTTCCCACAACCACCCGCGCCGTCCAATCCTGGCCGGGGTTCCACGGGGTCAATGTCGGGTCAGCATCCGGGCAACCTGTCAGCGGAAACACAGGGACAAACATTCAAACATTTTTTTCTGGTCATTCGGGAATCCGAGTATTAGGGAAAAGGGCCTAAAATGTATATATATCGCCAGAAAACAGCAAGATAGTCTCATTTTTTTGCAACATTTTAAAGTAGAGTATGCCAAAAGCGTGTCAATGATGAAAGCTCTGGGGACATAGAAAAATTGCCAAGGCTCTTCCACACTTAAGCGACGGTCACAACTCGCCGTACGTGCTTCTGCGTGCTGTCTACGTGCAAAAACGTGGGCAAACGCAGGGCATCCGTGCGTGGTGAGTACCACCTCCGTACGGAATCCTACGGATTTGGGAGCACGCAGACACGCCGTAGAACTTTAAGTGCATGTAATACTTTTTCTACGTGCGGTCTGCGGATTTACCACCCGTGCGTGCGAGTACGTGCGACGCGCGTGCCCCGTACAGCCTATGAGCGTGCAACGTACGGACTCCGTGAGTCTAACTTCACTATTCTCACGTGCAATTGCTGTACGGACAGCGCACGAAGCATGTGCGTGCCACGCACGGTGCTTGCGTCATCCGTGCTTACTCCTCACTTCCCAGTTGACCTGCTCAATGACCACGCAGAACACACGTGCACCATACCAGGTGTTCCGCACGTGCAACGCACGTGCAACGCACCTGATTTCTACAGTATGTAAAGACGACTTGACCGGCGACTGCCAACTCGTCTCCAAGATGCCCAGGAAGGCTCAGAAGAAGACTACCAGACAAGACCCAAAGAAACGGGCCGCGGAAGACACCAGGGCGGCTAGTGATGATGAAGTTAACAGGAGGTGCACGCACTTACAACGTGCGAGTGAGTAAGGAAACCGTGCGTACGCCGCACGTGTAGGTACGGCCTGTACGCGGCAACGTAGCAATCGCACAGAGATCGTACGTTGTAAGCACGTACAACTTACTTACCACTTGCGCAACGTACGATGCACGCACCCGCTGACGGCCAGGCGTGTCGTGCAGGACCACGTACGTACACCTTGCGC